CCTTTGAGGCCGACATGAATAATGTTGCTGAGTCTGCATTTTTCCATCAACTAATCTAATCATATTTGCCCATCACTTACTACACCTCACAGCGCCGCTATCCTCATTCACTCTTTGGTTACATCCCATATTGATTATTGCAATTCTGTCCTCTTCGGCCTTCCTCTTAAGTGTCTTCATGAACTCCAATTGTTCCAGAATTCAGCCACCCAATGATTACTAGAACCCCTCCATAGATCATATCACTCCAGCAAATTCACTGGTTAGTGGCTACCTGTTAAATATCACATTGATTTCAAGATTCTCCCTCTAACCTTCAAATCATAATCATAATCAAGCCCATCTTTCTGCACTCCTCCGTATGTACACACCCTCCTGTACTCTTATCCGCCTCTGCAATTCAACTCACGTCACCATCTGCCCACTTGACTACCATGAGTTGTAGCGCCTTCAGCCGTTCTACCCCCTGCTTTTGGAACTCTCTCCCCCACAACATTTGCAATATTGACTCCCTTTCCACGTTCAAATCCTGTCTGAAAATACATCTTTTCAAGCTGGCATATTTGATCTGATGTAACTGTGACACACACATCAAGATTTACACTGATGATGACTTTTTGATGATGATTTTATACCTAGTTTTTTATAACCATGATTTTTGTTCAGTTTTTTTATTGACTCATTACTGTATATTCTTGATTTGTTTGACTTTATGATCTGTGGATACATTGCTGCTTGTTTTTAAACGTGTTTTGTACAGTGTCCTTGAGTTCTTTGAAAGGTGCCTCTAAATAGAATGCATTATTATTATTATTATTATTATTAGCTAGCTAGCTAGCTAACTAAAGGTACTAAAGGTAAAGCCTACTGAATGTATAAACATGATGCTTTTGCTGTCTAATGATCATAAAAGTGAATAAAGGCCTACCCCACTTTACAGGAAGAGTGGAGGGAAACAGGGAAACATTGTGGTTATTCAATCAGCTGTGTGTCATCGCAGTGTGTGCACATAAATGTTGTTTGGCCTACCCTGGAGCCTGTCTGCCCGCAGAGGTAAGGGCACTCATGGCAGCACCAGGAAAAGCCAAACGCCATTCATCTGCACACACTGGGATGGAACATAGCTGGTTGCAAATCGGCAAAGTTTTCCTTCATATTAATTGTCTTCTATCTTAATCACCAATGATGTGGTGGTTTACTTACACATTGATCTGTAGGCTTCAGGTTCCTACTATCTTTATCTTTTTAATCTGTTGTTGTTGCTGAGTCAGTTTGACATCCTGTATATACCCTTCAAACACATACTGTAGACCCCTCTGGCTGTTTCTGAAATCACATTTGTCCAAAAATCTGATAACATTGCTAGTGCAGCTAGTTACAGTGTGGGCCTATATCAATATCAATTTTACTAATTTCAGCAACTGACAGAAACAAGAAATAAAAATATCACATAGTTTTGGACCGCCCTTTTAGTTGGCTCAGTTTAACCTATCGCTGATCCCACAGCTGGTTGATTGATCAGAGCAGACTGACCATAGACTGTATAAATAATAAATGTAGCTTCCATGACATCCCCCATTGGTTTGTGGACTGCCAATTTGAAGCCTTGAGTTTGGTATTTCGGCTGTCACCGTCTTGGTTTTATGGAGCCAGAAGAGACCATATTTGGAAGAGAAGGTGGAGCTGTGGAGGAGCAAGGGCTAGATCTACCTCACAGACTGTAGCAATGCCTCACAGACAGCCTGTCACTTAAGCAACCTTGCTGTAAAATATCCATAACGTTAAACCTCAATAAATGTAAATGGGTGAGTTATAAAAAAAAAATCACCCCCTCTAACAGTTTTCATTAATGTTGAAATTAGCTATAGAAACTGTTTTTGTATCAGGCTGCAAACATGTATATTTCTGCTGTAACATCTGTGGGGATTTACTCCATTTTGGAGCCAGCTTCAAGCAGCCATTTGATGACCTACAGTTTTTGGCTGTTCCACACTGGCTTCATTTTTCAGCCTCAAAGGCTGCCACTTGAGACTGACCAATACATCCTCATCCCATTAGTAAGTAACAGAATCTTGGTTTATATTCGATCAGCACTGATGAGTTTGACAGTTTGACCGCAGTTCATATACGCCCCACTGGTGGTAGTGGTGGTATGTCTTCCTCAAGCTTGGGTCCTCTACCAGAGGCCTGGGAGTTTCACGGTTCTGGATAGTATCTTAGCTGTTCCTAGGACTGTGCTCTTCTGCACAGAGACTTCAGATGTTGTACCTGGAATCTGCTGGAGCCACTCTCCCAGTTTGTGGGTCACAGCCCCGAGTGCCCCAATTACTAGTGGCACCACTCCCCACATCTTGTCTAGCTCCTCTATCAGGCCTTGGTATTTTTCGAGCTTCTTGTGTTCCTTCTTCCTGATATTGTTGTTGCTCGGGATTGCTACATCTATCACCACTGCCTTCTTCTGTTGTTTGTCTATCAACACAATGTCCAGTTGGTTAGCCATCACCAATTTGTCAGTCTGGATCAGGAAGTCCCACAGGATCTTAGCTCAGTCATTCTCAACCTTAGGAGATGTCTTCCACTCTGACCCTGGGACTAACCAAGGCCTCAGGCCTGAGCTTGCCTTGGTCCCAAGAATCAGTAAATCCACCCCTGTCAATCTCCTCTTTCTGACTGCACATAGGCAGCAGTGAAATAACAACAAATCTGTGATTAAAGAATGACAAATGAACCTTAAGGAATCTGAAGCTTGACACCTTTGATTGATTAAAAAGCTGTCAGCTCCTGTAGCATTTGATGACCACTAGATGGTAGCACAAAGACAGGGAAAAAACAGTCTGTGCCGACAACAAAACTGATGAAGCATTTTTCAATCCCTGGTGGTTCCACACTGGAGACTGCTGTCTGAGCAACTCAGAATCAGTATAATCAAACTATGGAAGCATGTAGCTCCAAATGTGTTACCCAAGTTTAAATGTATAAACATCCAATACTTTAGCAGAGCATTCACTGAACAGTTCTGCTAATATCAAAAGTTTGAAGTTGTACATCTGCTTTTTAGGTTAGTTGGGTGGTGTTGGTGGTGTTTGAAGTGGTGGCGGGGATTAAAGTCATTTTTATTTAAAATGCCTGGCTTAATGTAGTTTATCCTGCTTACGTTTTCTGTAGCATGTCTTTGAGTCCTGCAGGACGCACACATCTGCTTCTCTCTGCTTTCCAAATGAAGTCTCAGTATGGATTAAAACATCAGCTTCAGTTTCATCATTCACCTGAGCTACTGTCCTCTTGTAATGTGACCAGAAATTTATATGAGGGTATGAACGTACCACTGGATGCACGCCGGTGCATGTATTGTGCATCGCCAGGTCTCCAATGGGTTAAAGTAAAGTTAGTTAAAGTAGTAGCGTTAAAATAATTTAATTGTTATTTATGCCCACTGAATGAAAGCATGGATAAGTTAAAAATGTCAGAAAAATAGAACACTACAATATGTGTCCTCTCCTGATGCACAGTGACAATTAGCCTCTCAGAGCTGTGTTTAGCAACTGTAGCTGTGCAAGTAGATAATTGATAGAGAACTAATATTCATTCATTCATCTTCTAACCGCTTCATCCACTTGAGGGTCGCGGGGGGGCTGGAGCCTATCCCAGCTGACATCGGGCGAGAGGCAGGGTACACCCTGGACAGGTCGCCAGACTATCGCAGGGCTGACACATAGAGACAAACAACCACTCACGCTCACATTCACACCTACGGACAATTTAGAGTTATCAATTAACCTAGTCCCCAATCTGCATGTCTTTGGACTGTGGGAGGAAGCCGGAGTGCCCGGAGAGAACCCACGCTGACACGGGGAGAACATGCAAACTCCGCACAGAAGGAATTGATATGTGAAAATAATGTACAGGCCAGGAAATGTATTGTGAGATACCTATAACATTTCCCAAAATATGACTAGTTACCAGTCTGTGCTTTCATTTATCTGGTATATGACAGTTAAATATTGCATAACATTTCTGAAAACTTTTTTTTTTAACAGAGCTATAATTGCCTGCTTTAAATTTGAATGTCAGGTGTATTTTGCAGGCCTTACCCTAAACTGTGCACACAGATTACAGTCCGTTAGCAAAAGGTTTAGCAATTTGCTTGTACAGATATTGATGCCACTTTTTATTTTCTAACATATAACTAATAGTAGCCTAATATTGCCTTTTTGGGTATAAGATCTTTTGCCTGTTGCTAAAGGTTTGCTAATGTGAGCTAAAACAAGATCAAGCTACAAAAAAGAACCATCAAATAAAAAAAAATGACTAAAATGTGTTAATCTGATAAAAGAAAAAAAACTAACAAAAACATATTGTGTTAAGAACCTTTGTGTTTTCACCACTTGCCTTGTTTTCTCTGCCTCTGCTATCCAACATAACGACATATATGATGTAGGTTGTTCATACATGTGCTGTACTGTACTGAAAACAAACCTGGAACAACTCATGTAACCTTGAAAGCACTGTTTTATTGGAGTTGATAAATGATTAACAGAGATACAGCCGTGGATCATGACACTACTGACCCTTTACCTGGTTATATAAGAGCTTCAGAACATTATTCTGGCTTCAATGAACTCCAGATCAGATTAAAAAAAAAAGAACACTGGGGTGCCCAATAGCTCAACAGGTAGAACAGGCATTCCATATACAGAGGCAATGTCATTGCTGCAACAGCCATAGGTTCAATTTTAGCTGCACGCTACAACCTATGGCAACAAACTTTGGACATAGATTTGTATCCGTAAGATAACTTGTCATTTCTAGAAAATTAAGAACTCCTTGGCATAAGAAATGAAAAAACAAACAAACAAAAAACTCAGGGCCAACAGTTTAGGTCTACATACTGACAGAATGTTGGCTGATCTAGGCCAGTCTGTTCTTATGGATTTACAGGACAGGTTCTCGGGTAAAGGGAGGTGATATAATGTGAAAAGGCTTGGGAACAGACGTGAATGGGCATGCTGTTGACGTCATAGTCGTCATACCTGACGAATAAGCGCACTGAACGCTGATTGGCTTGTGTATGCCACGTTAACGCCCTCTTCTTGCATGTGACCGCCTCATTGATACTAGTGTCAGCGCGGCTCTAACCACGGGCGGTGTGAAGGGGACCGCTGTTTGTACCGTTTTTTAAACTTAGACTTGAATCTGTTTGCAAATGAAAGTCAAACAATCAGGTACATTTACAACAACGTCTATTAAGTTGCTTAAATATATGGCTAATGTTGACGTTTTGTGCTGCCCTCGGTAAAGCATTATGGACTAGCCCATTATTTGCCAACCCCTCCGCAGCCAGAGTTCCGTGACTCACCAGAAAAAATGATGTAACTTTTACCGGCTTTCTATTAGGCTACCTTCAAAGGCACGAAGACAAAAGGAAGTTAATGCTGTAACACCGCGTGAAGGGAACATTCTCAAGCTTTTTGTAGAATAAATGGCTCAGTTTCTATAGTACAGGTGAAAAGACAGCGGCACCCCGCCGGTAACTTTCAGTTGTTTCGCCAGACTCAGTACAGTAAAGAATGAACCCAGCTCGCCGCTGTTCGGCTTTATTGAGCCAGCTGTGTGTTTCGTCGCGTAGGGGGGCGACGACCAGGAGACCGTTTTCACCGGGACCAGTCTCAGCCGCGGCGGGAACAAGGTACTGTCACTCCGGGGTCGGTGTCGGAGGAGGAGGGGGGGTCAAAGTGACCAGTTCCCAGCTGAAGCCGACTGGAGCCTCCACCGCTTCGGCAGCACAAGGTAGGCCTACTGTACATCTCACTCTTTCAACCAGTTCTCACCAGCCGCGGTGGTTTGACCTTTCTACCCCACTACGTTGAAACAAACTGAACGTTACTCATCAATGTCTATTAACGTTACCATGACTCAAAATGTGGCTGGCGAAATGATCCGCAGGTGTCGATTTCGGGGGGGTCACACACACACACACGTCGCCCTGAGTATTGGCATGCCATGGCAATTTGTCTTTCTCATTAAAGCCATTTAACTACTGTTCAAAAACTTTTGGAGAGGACCCTAAACCCCCATTTCATAAGTCCCCGCTGTCTCAGTTTTACTACCATCTTTTGTTAATCTCAGAGAAAGCTGCTGCTCTTTCAACTAGAATTTCTGCAACACTTTCTGGCTGCGTGGAAAACTGTGAAAAAGTTCCACAAGTGAATAATCAAATGTTCAAAACCCACCCCAGTGATTTCAGTCAAAGAGAGAGACCTGAAAACTGAACAAAAAAATAAAATCAGACAAAGTACCAAGGCTGCCAGCCAGGGCAGTCTTTGTCATTTATCAATTAAAGATTTAGTTTATAGAATTTCAGGAGAGTAGCCTACAAGATGAGGTTGCCAAATGTCTTGTCTAACCAACTGTACAAAACCCAAACATATTTAATATATAATGATAGAGAAAAATAGCAAATATTCATTTACAGAACTTCAGAATAAAACTTAACTAAAATACCTGCAAACAATTATGTCCATAAATAAAGTCATTAACTTAATAAAATGTCAGAAAATAGTAGAAAATATCCATCCCAATTTCCTCGATCTCAAGATAACATTTTGAAGGTTTTAAATCCAACCAGCAGTCCATAAGTCAAAGATACTGAGTTTACTACAAAGCAAAAAGCACAGAAATATTGACATTTTAGAAGCTGCAATCAGCAAATTTGAGGCATTTTTGCTTGAAAAATGACTGAAACCATCATTTGATTCTCCAAATTGATGCTGATTTAGTTTCTGTTGATCGACTTATCTGTTCATGTTTGTAAACGTTTCTGCTCGAATTTAATTTGCAAGCACATAGAACAAAGCCTCACATTAAAGGTATACTATGCAGGAATTGTTGGTTACTGGTAATGCAGCATCACCAGCAAAAGTGAAAGCCCCAGTTATTATAAAGTCCCAACCTCAGCTTCAGGCTGTATCCAGAAACATCCTGGACCCAGCAAAATAAGAAAATATAAGAAAATCCAGGCAGAGGGCAGAGTCTCTGCAGGCTGATACACTTATGGTGGGTCATCAGTAATGATTGAGAGGCATTACTTCTGTATGAGTTCATACAGACCTGTTTGTCTGTTTTGTGTGGATGAAGCCAAATCACTTAAACTGTGAACCAAATCTACCTTCGGGTACAAATGAAGTTACCTTACCTTACCTTACATTGTTTTTTAGGAAAATCCTGCAGAGTATACCTTTTTAAAGATAACATTGGTGAATGCCTTTTTTTGCTAAAAGACTTTAACAATTTATCAATTCTCAAAATTGTTGTAAATGACTTATTTAGGTCCAAACATAAAGCACTAAAAAAAAATTAAATCACATGCTGCTATTTTATCCCTTTGACACACCAGTCGAGCTGCCACAGCTTCTTGCCTCTGTTGCCACAGTGATAGAGAATAACGACAGTATTGAGCTTTTGAATGTCTCGTTTCACTGAAAAAACTCTCAGATGGCTCAGTTGACAAGTCAAAAGTAATATGCACTTTGTGTCAAACGGAATGAACATATCACTGAAGTATTTTGAGTTTCAGCTTCCACCTATGAGCTGAGCATACAGGTGCAGCTGATCAAACTAATGTCAGCGGGCGGCGGCATCGCCAAAGCCAGCAAAGCACTGTTTAAGAGTGATCTAATCCTCACAGACCTGCCGATGAAAGTAAATCAAAGAAGTTAACTACTATGCTTGCTAAATGTGTGGCAACTGACTGCAGACCAGTCAACATCATGAAAGACTCTGGTCTAAGTGATGTCTTCAGGCTGAAATGTTTTCATAGTTTCAAGACCACACTGTTGTAGCATTGCAGCTCTGATTTGAAAGAAAGAAATCTGAAAGTCAAGATCATACAGTAAATTTTTTTGCTTTCATTTGATTCCCAACCAAGACACTGTGGTAAGAAATGCTTCACCTTGTGAAGATGGACTTCACAAGTGTCTTGTAATGCATAATGATGGATTTTTAAACATGTCATTAAAAAGACTAATTAATTACTAATCGGAATTAACGATTGAGATTCAGTGATAACTCATTTTTAAAAAAAAGAAACACTAATCATTTGGCAGCCCTAGTTGTCACAGAACAGTATAAGTTGAAACTTCATTATTCTGAGCAGTTTAATGACTTTGTCCTGTCCATGTTGGCCAATAACTAGCTAGTGTTGGGTACATTTTTATGCATGCTTATCTGTAACATTACCTCATTACTTGTCAACCATTCAGTGTGTTTGCTGGAGTTTCCAATGTTGGAGCTCTTTTCTTCATCTAGTGTACCTTACGCTGGCCCTGCTGAGTCACTGGTTCTATTTATTCCCTCTCTAAAACTGTGATACAGGATGTTCTTGATGTGGCTCTTAAGCAGATACCTCTGTCTGGTAATCTGTTCCAGTGGCCTCTGTTTCCTTCCTGCCACTGGAGACGATGACACTGCACTTCTCATCCCACTGAATTTAGCGCTTCATTTAACTAGCTGACAAATAGGCTGACAGGATTGTGTGGTGAACAAGAGCTCAACCTGCTGCTGAGATGTTAATACACATGATCTGCCTGCTTGCTTTAGATTACAGGAAAGACTACTGCAGATCAGTGCAGCTGGATTTTTAAAACAGCTAGACATTGATAGACACTGGCATGTAAACAGATACGTTGAAACTTTACTTTGAAACTTTACTTTGAAACTGTGGTTAACAGGTGGTTCAGTTTAGGCACAAAAACCACTTGGTTCTGGTCAGGAGAAGATCACATTTCGGCTTAAAATACCTGGTTTTTGGGGAAGCAATCCCCTTTGGAAACAGCAAGGTCTCTGTAAAAAACACAACTGTCTGCCATGCCACTATTTCAGCAGGAAACACGGCGATGTCTCGGTTTACTGAGAACTGACACATGGTATTATGACTGTCTAAAGTAAGCCTGATTTTAATGAAATGTTTGCCTTTAAAAACTTGTAGTGATTGAATGTCACAGGAAGCAATGTTTCGGTCAAAGTCTTTAAGCAGGTCTGACTAGGTTGAGGGTTTGTCTATTGTAGGTATTGTCAGGAGGAAACATGTCAGGTCTATTATTTCACACCTGTGCTCAGGTCACATCCACACAAACACAAACACACACATACTCATGCACGCTCACTCCCACATGGCCTGGGTCAGCAGCAAAAATTAGAAACTTTAATAGTTCCCGTGTTTCTCAGGAGGTTAAAACTCTTAATCTAACTCCATGCAGATCTTAACTGGCCTCCATTTGTAATGGGATTGGTCAGGCCCAGTTATATAACCATAGAGACATGGGTCAAGGGAGAGTGCACACTATGGTTACATCAATCAGTCAGGCCTATATTATCTTTCACTCACAATTAAAATTTCTTGAATTAGCTTGACAGTGTCGACACAACAGCACTAACACTAAAACAGAAAACTGATGTGATGACTGTGATAAAGTTTGGCCAGTTGTACAGCTCAAAAATTAAAGGATTCATGGCAGTTACATTTCTTACATGTGGATATTAACACACTTGCTTAATCAAATGTGGTGAGTAACAGTTGATCTTTGTAAGTGGTCAAAAGTGGTTGACAAGATTTTAGTAATGATTATCAGAGGTTTCAACCATAGGCTGTATAAAATAATGGACAAAGTCACTGACAGCATCCAATAGTTTGTGGAATCCTGTTTTGAAGCCTCAATTTTGGCGTTTTAGCCGTCGGCATCTTGGATTTTTGGAGCTAGATGTAACCATATTTGGAGGTTTGTGCTAACCCTAACGCTAGCTTGGTTTACTGATTTACTGCCATGGTTAACTGTGATAATGCTAATTTTCACTATCAAAAACAGGCTTAAAACCATTAAAATAAAATGTATTTACTGGGAAAAGTGAATATCTAACTGTTGAGAGGGTCTTTTAATTCAAGATCTTGAACTCTTTAGGCGACCACAATGTTACACTTAAGTTTAATGAACCTTCTAACACACTGAAATAGCGGCAGCTATGGTGATGCAAATACTCGATTAATCTCGGGCTGCGCCATGGTCATGTTACCTAACCAATGGTGTCGTCGTGGTAGTGACTTACCAACGAACAACACCCACCTGTCACTTACAATGACCATGCATTTAATCAATGCCAAAATTAAGCTCTATTATACAACAGTTAGTTCCGGCCCTGCAATCTGATTGGTCAAGAGACAGTAAAACCGTGATGATATTGGAGTACAACATCACTGTTATTTCACTGTGTATGTATCACTCCGCCTCACAGCTGATTGCAATCAACAATCAAATCAAAACTGACGGTTAGTGTCAGTTAGGTCAGCAGTTGCGTTGTAGGCTAATTAATTCATCCACTGTCAAACAGCCAAAAATATGGATTTATTTCCTAAAATAAGTTTTGAATTGAACTATGAATGGTCATCAGAGGAAGATGAGGGAGAGGAGAAGCTGAATCCATCTGAGCACACATCCAGGTTTGTCAATGTTTCATCAGCGGAGCTCAATGACTTGGAGAAAAGCAACATACTGTCAGATCAGAAGGCAGAGTCGGCTGTGCCTGTGAAGCGACAGTCCACCATGCAGTCACCAGAGACTTATTTCACCGGCTGCACAATTAATGGAAATGTGCAGATAAATGTATATAAAGAGTAAGTGCCTGGCGCACCATGTCTGCGTTACATAGCAACGTGACAGCGGAGTCCTGAGGGAACTATTTTTGTTGGCGGAAGACAAATAAAGTGCTTAAATTATCTATTTTGTCCTCATTTTTCA